TTGTCAGGAATGTAGGAAAGTGCACCTGTGTCACTGAGTTTCTCTGTGGTTATGGTAACCATGAATTAGCTGCATAGTTGAGGAAGATCCATAAAATGTCCTTTCCGTGCCCACTCTGACTTTAAAAAAAGCCCAAACAACATTTCAGTGGATGGATAAGAATACATAATAATTCCAAGTGCAGCCTTTTATATTATTAGGGATGCCAGCAACCTGAACTTGAGCTAAAATAGTAAAATATAGTACCATGGAAAATACAATTTTCTTTTGAATTCATTTGTTCCTGGCCAAAATGGAATTGATTTCTCTTAAGAAACTTTATCAGATTTGTGAACAGCAGATATGTGAGCCTCTGGAATGTTTTGTTTAAGGCTCTTCATGCTTTTAATTGATCAGACAGCTGGGAATTATGTCCTTTTGCAATCAAACCAGTATTCATTAACTGGCTGAATACACTTTAAATTTGTATCCTTAAATTTAATGGTATGTAGGTTAATACTTGTGTGTTCTAGTTCTGGCTTAGTTTGTACTGTGGTGTGTGGCAATGGAGAAAATTGACTAGGAAATGACAGGTAGCATACTTCAAATTGCAATACTGCACAGTATTGAGAGCCTGACGCCATCCCTTTTTGAGAAGGGTGTTGTGCCATTTGACTACCAGCTGCTCAATGACTAAAAGCAAGTTTTAAAAGTTCACTTTCTAAGGACAGCAGTGGTGAGTGCACGTAAATACCTGAAGCTGGGTCTTGGAAAAGGAAAGGACTGGTGCACTGAGTTCTTGTTCCTTACTGGGAGGCTTAGAAACAGCAAAGTTAAGTAGTTGTGCATGTATAGTACTATAATGTGTGCATGCATCTTCTCTCTTCATTAAAACGGAGTAGGGATATAAAATTTTGAAGTTTTTGGACTGCCTCACTGCCAGTGTTTGTTTAACCAAGCCATACATATTAAATTATTCATATTTTAATCTAAATTTATGTGTCTTTGTGTTTCCAGGACAATTCGGTGATTAAAAATCAATGAATAAACTGCACATAGAAAGCAAGAAAACTAGAAATAATGCAACTTGTCCTGAATCCTTGCTTCTTTCCTTTCCTCTCATGCCTTCCCTTTTTATGTCTTGATTTTTCAAATTTTTCCAAGTCTCAAAAACTTACGATGAAATGTTGAATTGTTTCAAGCTATGATACATGATGCACTGTCACTGAAAAGGGAAGATCCTTTTCCTGGTGTTACCGTCCTTTGCTTGTGCAAAGCAAAGACTGACTTGGTGATAAGCAGTTTCAGTTTACTAAACTGGCAACAAGCTAAGGAGGCAAAACCAGTGAATTGTTTTCTGTGGGGTGAGTTGAATCAGTTCAGTGTGCAGGGTCAGGGGAGCACTAGATGACACCCTCAGAAGAATTCAGTTGGTTTGTGGTTTGTTTTTTTTAAAAGCTTTTTGAATGTCAGAGTATTTTTATCTGGCGAACATCATTGAGCACTGTCAAATGTTAAGCAGTCTGTTTATCTTTCTGATCTTGATTAGAATCCTAAAAGCTGTACTTAATTGTGTCTAACTTTTTAGTGATTACTGGAATGTGTTCATGCGGGTGCCATTTTAGAGATTAAATTATTAAATGTAGAAACCATAGTGCTTTTGTTAAAATAAAAAAAGGCAAAAAAAAAAAAAAAAGCTTTTCCAGCTTCCATGAACCAAGAAAAACTGGGATACACGTTTCACGATGCACTGTATACAGCAGTACAGGCATGACCTAAGTGAAAGCCTGAGTCTGAGTTTAGACTATAAGGAGCTTATTTTCATTGTGTTGTATTTTCTGTCAGTTTTACACAATTTTATGTGAAAATGGTGAAATCCTTAATGCCACTGCAAGGTTATTTTTAATGTTCCATTCTTTAAAGAAGCAATGTGTTCTGGAGTTATCTCCCAGCTTTAGTTAGGGGCTAGGGATATCCCTGTTTGTTCTTCCTCTCTCTCCATTAGCTGAAAACATGAAGGCCATGTGAATTTGGTGAAAAGGCAAGGAACAAAGTGTTTGTAGGGCTGCTGAAGGTTTGCCTAACATATGAGATACTTGAGGCTGTAAGAAGTAAATTATTTCACAGCTTTATAAGTATTATTTATTTGTATGATAAATACTTTTTTGCAATAATATTTGTTTGTTTAAAAAATGCGGTTTCTGATGAAACTGTGTTTACAGTAACACTGTCTGCAATCTTATCCAAATCTTTAGTCATGGCCTATTAACTTATTTTTCTGGAGGTTTCAGTAGGATCACTTTTACCCCAACAGTGTTAAATTTTTTCCTAGTGAGATGCAAGGAAATGTAAAAATCACTGTGACTTTACTTCTATACAAGATTGATGTGGTCAAATTACTCATAAAAAAGGATCTAGGCAGCTTGTGAAGTTTGGAGTCAGTATAATTATTTTAAGTGTATATTAAAAGATAAAAAACCCTTGAAATTAAATGTAATTTTGAATAAAATGTTTTTGTTGACGAAAATGAGCTAATTGTTTTTCGAAAATCAAGTAAGCAAGGAATCTTTGCCCTTCCCTCTTCTA